TTTCAACAGGTAATCAATATTATTAGTGAGTTGTTTTATATTATTTTTAAAATTATTTTTACTAGGACTTCAAAATCTGGAGCGCACTTTCCCATTGTAGCACCTCTTCATTAGACTGGCCACAGTTCAAGTGCTCAGTGGCTACCTGACTGGACAGTGAAGTTACAGACACTCTTCTCCACTTGCCTCTGGAAGCAATGTCTCCTTGCCTCCTCCTGCCTCTCCAGCATTCCTTCTCAGTGTCCCATCTCTACCTCCTCTCCCAGGCCCTCACCTGCTATTGATCCTCAGGACCTCACCTCCCACCAGCCTCTCTTTGTACCCTGTACCCTCTCCCTGATTAATCTCATCTATTTCACCCGCTGGGGGGTGATTCCCAGGGTGCTAAATCTAAGTCCCACCTCTCAGTTAAACTCCCAACTGGTACAGCCAACCCACAGATGTCCAGAATTTGACACACCAAACTTGAACCCCCCACTTTTCCTCATAGATCTTCTCCTGTCTCAGTGGTGCCACCATCCACTGAGATGCCCAGCAGAAAACTGGTATTGTCCGGTTGAATTGTCCTTCCTCCTTTATCTGCTAAAGCTAACCAGTTACCAAGTCCTCAAAGTTGGCTTCACCAATATTCTTTAAATATGCACTTGTTTCCTTCTCCACACCCTCAGCATCTGTCAGATTTTCACCATCCCTCCCGTAGACTATTGTAGTGGCCTCTTCAATAGTCTGTCTACCTTACTTGTAGTTCCTTCTGTTCCATCCTTGATGCCCTCAATTTTTCACCTGAATAAATTGATATTCACCTACAGGGGCCATGTCTGGGACTATATCCCTATTTTTAAAAATATTAGTTTTCTTCAAGAAAGGGGAAGGGAGGGAGAAAGAGGGAGAGAAACATCAATCACTTGCCTCTTGCATACTCCCAACCGGGGCCTGGCCCCCAACGGAGGCATGTGCTCTGACTGGAAATCGAACCAGTGACCTTTAGGTTTACAGGTCACTGCTCAGCCTGCTGAGCCCCACCAGCCAGAGCTATATACCCATTTTTTAAGGGCTGTGTTATAGGCTTAGGTCAAGAGCATTTTTAAGATGGCAGGCTCTCAGGTCACCCGTAGTTCTCCTGCCCGACTCCCTTCCACTGCACTTCACCACTGAGCAGCTGTGTAGATGGTTCTGGAAGACACAGGAATGCATTAAACAGAATTCATTTTATTTGTTTTGATGATAGTCTCCGTGGCTTTGGACACTTTTCCTAAACCTGCATGTACCCTAGAGCACTGGTCTCTCTCTCTCTCCCTCCCCACAGATATCTCTGAAAATCTGGTTACAACACACCCCTTCCCACTCCCCCAGAAAAATGCACGTGTGCAAACATGATTCGGCGTGAGTATCGGGTTCACTGAGTCCCTGAGGCCCACCCAGGGGGTGATAGACCTTGTTTGAGGACAGCTCTGAAACAGTCTCCAGATCATCTACTGGTTTCTGCCCAAAACCAGATCAAGAGTAGCTTGGTTTCCTAAGACATTTTGAAAACTCTCAGAGCATTTCATAGCACATTTTGGAATATAGCTACAATTTCCTCCAAAGGCACTTTGAACACGATCTGACTAACAACACTAAACACATTTCCAAACTTGCTTTACTTGGCTAAATGTAGCCCAGTTTCTTCACACCAACACCTCTTTTTATGGAAGCTGCTTGGAACTGCTTTGTTTCTCACTGGGTTTCTGAGGCTGCCGCCCGTCAGCCGTCACGCTGACACTGGTTTCCACGTCATCCTCGGTCATTTCAGAAGCCCCCTCTAAGACCCTTGGCGCTGAAGGCTCTGCTGCACAACTTGGGTCATCGTGCGGTCTGCCAGCCCTGCACCCCAAGGAGGGGGCACACCTAGGCTCTGGCCACCCTTGGGGGCCTTCGGCCGGGTGAGGGTGTGTGTCGGGGAGCACTGCACACCTCTCCAAATGAGTCTCAGCTTTCTCCTCAGCAGCCTGGCTGCTGGGCAATGAGCTTGCAGCAGGGATTGACCTTCGCTGCCCGTGGAATGTGCCGTTTCCACAGGGCACAGGAGTGCAGAAGGCAGTGACTGCACCCACAGGTGTGGGGCGGGTCTTCAGCAGCCCACACCCTCTGCACTGGGCAGGAACAGGGCTGCCTCCTTACTTAACACCCAGTCACGTGCTTGAGTTCACAGCCTCTCCTTGGGGTTCCTGGCCCCACACTCTCTTCCTTGGCAAAGCTTCTCTCCTGCTCTCTCCAAATTCAAGCCTGTGCATCTTCCTCTCTCCTGATTATCCAACTTGTTTGCTCTCTTGCCAGGCTCCCTCCTTAAATTTCATGCCCAATGGAAGCTCTCTGCGCCTTTGTTTGTCCTCAAAGCCCCACTTACTCCCAGGAGGCCCCTTTGTGTCTCTATTCCTTCCACCTCCAACCCCCAGCCCCTCACCGTCCAGCTCTTAACCTTTCTGAGTCTCTCTTGCAACTCCCAACGGGGCTCGCTGCCTTCCCCGCTCTCCCAGCCTGCGTGCCAGCTGGAAACAACCAGCTGTAAAGAGTTTATTGGACTGAAAAGGGAGTGAATGGTCTCATGCACTCTCCTCTTTCCCACCTCAGCCAAGCTTTTCAGAGTCACATTTCCAGTGAACTCTGAATCTGGAAGGATTAAATCCACTAAATCTGGAAGGATTTAGATCCGCTGAAAAATGCTAAACCTCCAGCGTTTGACCGTGTTTGAAATTTTTGGCAGCCCCTCCCGTGTCTGATGTTACGAGCACTGTTTATAGATGCCTGGAAAGAAGCCTTTAATGCTTGTATTGTGTTTTAACTTGCTTTCCTTTGGAGGCAGGGAATTGTCAAGTAAGTATTCACAGCACTCTGCAAAAGCCCAAGTGTTCGATGAGCATCCGGTACTAAGCGTTCATGCAGAATCCACCACAGCCGCGAAGGGCCTGTCCCTAAAACCCGCTGAGTTTGCCACTGTGCAGGTTTCTTCCCTTTGCGCCTCTCATCTTCAGTTTGGGAGCAATACAGCTGTGAACGTATGCTTGTGAAATAGGAAAGAAACATTCTGACACTGCTTTACTTTTCAGTTTTTAACTGAAAAACAAGGTGAAAAAAGCATCAGATTGCCTCTGCGTGTATATATATACAGTGCCGTGTATATATTAATACACAGTGTTTGTGCCTGTATGCATACTCTATCTACACTGTATAATATGTGGCGTATTATACAACCTGTGTGTACCCCGAAAACAAGCCCTGCGTTCAGTCCCAACGTTTGCCAGTGAGTGAGCCAGGCTGCGGTCCTAGTGTCTCCTCGCTCCTGTCTCAGACCTTGGCTTGCTTTTGTCATACACCGAAACATTCTTGGTGAAAGAAGAAACCCACGGATTTCATTTGAAAGTCCCACTAAAACAGAAGAAAGAGCGGATGTCCTGGGAATCGATAATTAATGTGAAGGAAGTGTCTCATTGCGAGAACTGGCACGGCCCCCGCTTCCCGGCTTTGCTAATTTGGCAGCGATGATGTCAGCCGGGGGTGTCATTTTGCAGAGCTGTGCTCCCTACCCATTCTTCGGTGCTGATTATAATACCATTTGGTCCAGTGATCACTTATGATTACATAACTTGTTTTGATTGAAGAGTTTCTGAGAAAATACAGATAGCTTGTTTAACCCCAGCACAAAAATGCAAGCTGTTCCAGCAGGCCAGCTGCCCTCCCGAGAAACACTGGAAATTATTAGGCTAAATTATGAGCTGAACTTGATTAAAAAACAAAGCACCCATTGTGCATAAGTCCCAGCGACATTCAGGAGGATGTGATTGTTTTTCTGACAACAAGTTTGTCCCCAGCACGCTCTAAAATAAGCAGAGTCCCCAGGCGCATTTGCAAAGTCACGGAGAGTGTGTGGGAAGCATTGACAAGGCTTCCTTTTTTCTCCCCATTCTGTAGGCGCATTAGTGCAGAGTTTGCCCAGAGATGCCAGGGTATGAGCTTTCTGAATTTGTAGACTGGTGCACTCTTTCATTTCTGTTTTAGTTCCTTGCTGGCATGCTCGGGAAGCATGGTTTGTGCCACACAGGAATGTCTGTTCTCTTGGAAAATGCTTGTGCATGAATGAGGTGCTTGCTCACGTGGCTCTAAACTGTACTAAGTTTCTCACTTGGCTTTGTTTGCTGCTTACAAGGGGATCAAGGTAATCCTTTCTCTTCGTCTAGCTGGAGAGCAGTAACTAATGGATTTGGAATGTGTGGTGGGGGCTGGTTCAGGTCTCCCCTACCTGTCCCTGGTTTCCTAAACTCCAACAAGTTGATTTAAGGGAACCCCTGGTTATCCAAAATTGTCTGACTCATATAAGAATCCATGAGGGCTTACCCATTACAAACTCTCCTAATTCAGTATAAAGGCCCAGATCTCCAAAACTGAGAATGGAAAAGCAAGCTCTGCTATGAGGGTAGCAGGTGAACATAGACCATAACCCTGAGGTGTGGGGCAGAGTGGGAGTTCTGTTACCGGCCCTTTTGTGTAGTGGGAGTGACCTGAGTACAGGGCAGTCAGGCCCTTCCCAAGCCTGGCTTGGAAGTCCCACTTCACGGCATGCCGTGATTCTTTCACTGCCCAATTCAGAGCAAGTTTGACACATCCCTGATTGCAAAATGCTGGTGAGTTCAGGAAGCACAGCCTCTACCTTCTCATGCTTAAGCTCCTCTTTGGTCGTAAAGTCAGCCCTCTGGTTCAGCTGTCCTTCCTGGCTCCCAAGAGAGAGGGACCAACCCTGGGCCACCACAGTTTAGGTGTGGGGAAGCCGCCTCAGCGCCCGTGAATCAAGGCCTCGTCGTGCAGGACCCTTCACGTCAGAAGCCACTTTTCAGAAGAGGGGGTGGAGGCAGGCAAGGGGGGCAGCACAGAGCAAACCCAGGAGGAGGGTCCTCTGAGTGGGGGAGAGGGGAGCCTGGCCTCGCTGTCTTTTGTTCAACAGTTTCTCTGGCCACTCTCTGTTCCAGGCCACCTGTGAGCAGAGCTGTTCCCCAGCCTGAGAAACTCCAGAAGAACAATATCACCAAAAAAAAGAAACTGGTTGAGGTAAGGAAGTCAGATATGTTGCTTTTAATCTGGAGTCAGTGTTGTAAGACCTGGCGGGCATCACCATCTGCCTGTCCCACCGAGGCCTTCAAGTGGACCTGGTGGATCTGGTGGCTCCCGTCCCCCCTCCCTTCTGCATGGCGTTGTGTCCCCATCCCGGTGACCGGAATCGTGCCCACTGGGTCCTGTCAGTACTAACACTAAATGTCGCATGTCCTTCAGCCCTGGCTCCTTTTTCCTAAACCCGGAACCAGTCGGGGACGGGGAGGGAGAGGTGGGGAGACTATGAGCCTATTCGCTGTCTCTGCTGTTTGAGCACTTACCCTGTGCCAGGTACTAGGCTGCAAACTTCCTGTGGAGTATTTTATACATGCCTCACATCTATGAAGTAGGTACTTCTATTGTTTCCATTTTGCAAATGAGGACACTAGTTCAAGGACGTTCAGTGACTTGTTAGGCCCCCTGCCCAAGATGGCCACGGCAGCAAGTGGTGAGGGATGTGAACTCGGTTGTTGAGACTTGAGGGTCCTGCTGTCGGTGAACCTGCTGTTTTCTGGGAGAGGTCTCCAGACTGTTCTTCCTGCTCGGACCCCTCCCTGCTGCCTTCAGAGTCAGCTCTTTAAAATAGAGTTATTCATGCTTCACCCCGCCATCGAGACCCAAGGAATTCCTGCGTTGCTGACTGGGGATCAGATGAGTGGTTCCAGAACTTTGCCCAGGAGCTCCCTTTAAGCTCCTCTCTTGTGATTCTTCACCATAACTCAGATCTCCAACCCAAACCAACTCCTTAGTGGTCCCTGGAGCTGCCCTGGGCTTGCTGGCTCCTGATGAGAACTTCTCAAGCTCCATTCTACTCGGAAGCTCCTCTTTCTGCCCCACACCCTGATCCTTCCGAGTCCTTTTTGGCATCTTCTCTGTTCCTGATGCTCTTCACCCTACACCCTCCTGCATGCCCGCCCCACCCCCAGCCCTGTCACATACTCTGTTGCCTTTCTTTCTCACTCATTGGTCTCCCCTACTAGACTGTGACCCCACTGAGGCCTTTACTGGGAAAGGGGGGTTCACTGGGGGCGCTTATCACAGAGCACAGCACAGGTCAGGAAATGCAGCTGAGCTTCAGGAAAGATAAGATCTCAGAGCTGAAAAGCCATTATAAGCCAAGACGGTACCTTTTTCTGCCCCACAGGATCTTGTGTGTATCTGATGCAGTCTGGTAACTACTTTGGTGGACTACGAGTCCTACCCAGTGCCTGAGTTCACATCTCCTCAGTTAATGAAACAGCAAAGCCTACCAGTGTCCCCAGTCCTAAATTCCTGGGGGAAACCATCTGACTGGCCCAGCTTGAGTCCGTTGTCCATGAAGCCTGGGGGTCAGATTATTACACACACAGTTTCTGAAGAACACCTGGAAGTGAGGGGTGGGGGTGCGGGGAGACCGAGGGCTAGGCAGACACTGAGTACATTGAAAGGAGGAGGGTTTTCCAGGTGAGAGTTATTTTAAAAAGTTAAATTATAAAGATAGGAAAGCTGAGATATGGGAGCTAAACAGACAAGTCAGCCTGACCAAGGGGTGCAGGGGATTTGTGTAGGGGCCAGTTGTGCCAACCTGAGGAGTGCCGGCTTTTCCCAGGGGCAGTGAGAGTCAGCAAATGCTGTCGAGTAAGGAGTGGTGTGGTGCGTTAGGAGAATTAATCTAGTGTTCGCGGTTGTTGAGCACTGGAGAAAGAAAGGGCCAGAATCAGGGAACCTGGAGAAAGGGATCCCTCATCTTGGGTCCCGCCCACCAGCACAGTGCCTGGCGCAGAAGTACTGCCAACCACACATGTGCGTCAGATAGAATCAGGGGCCCATCTGATCTGAATCAGCTGCTGCTCTTTGTCTTGGAAGACAAGCCAGGAAGAAGAGAAAGACTGTAAACCCAGAACAGTATATAGTTGTTGAAAAAAATGCAAATGGTGTAGACACTCAGTAGGGCAAGCACCCAGCAGCAGAATGAGCGTGGCATTTGCCTCCACATTCTGCCCCGCCAGGCCCCACTGCATCTGTGGGAATCAGAGCAGATCTCCAAGCCACCATTCAGCTCACCTAAGGGTGCCTGCCAAGGCGCAGACGCGAGACTCCTTGGCAACCTTTATACAGAGAGCATGAAACCCGTAGACTTTGGCTCTCCAGAGGGGCAGCGAAGCAAATCCAGTGTGTTTAGAAAACTCACTGTGATTCTGTGCGTTAGCCTGCCCCCCTCGCATTCCAGGCAGCGTAAAAGAACAAAAGGGCTGCACTTGACCCTCAGCTAGTCAAGAAGTAAAGCGTTTTCAGTGAGCGGTTGGCTGTTTCACGGGCCACGCAGTTCCCGTGGGATGTGTGGCTCTTCCTGCAGTGCGGGCTCGCTCCTCTCAGGCCGCTGTCGTTTCTGTGTGGGCACGCAGGAGCTGGCTCTCGACCACGTGTTTGGCTACCGAGGGTTTGACTGTCGCAACAACCTGCACTACCTGAACGACGGTGCAGACATCATCTTCCACACCGCAGCCGCCGGCGTCGTGCAGAACCTCTCTACAGGTGACTGGGCCGGGAGAAGGCACCGCCTAAACATGGGCTCTCCTTCAGCCGTCGTGTGCACTTCCTTCTAGATGCCCCAAAGCTTAAGCTTTCTCTTCCCTTGAAAGCCATTCCTCCCCTTTCCAGACTGGTATCACTTAGTCCTAGAAAGTGCTCAGGCCCAGTATTGGAGAGTCCAAGGGGTCAAGGTCAGAGAGGTGTCGATGTTTCCACCCACTGCCAGGAGACTGATTGGGTGGGGAGGAGGCGGAAGGAGGGTGTGGGGAACAGAGAAATTCCTTGCAAACAGTAACAAAGAACAAGACATAGGGGAACCTGTCTCATTCATTTTTAACAGTGACCAAATTTTTAGCAGCTCAGATTTCCAAGTTTTACTTGTGTTGACTATTTTGCTAGATTTACATGAGGATGAGAACACAAACAAAAAAACAAATTTCCCAAAAATGTCCCTTCACTCTACGCTGACTCTCAAAAGAGTTTAAAATGCTACACAGCTCAAATGAAAAGAAGCATTCAGAAATTTAACAGACACCCATATCTTTATCATCAGATTTAAATGTTAATATTTTGCCTTATTTGCTTCATATCTTAAAGCAGATGTTTTTTTTTCTTTTCCAATAGTCATTTCCTTCCCAATTTGTCTAGTTGCTCATGCATAGGTTTTTAGATAGTGAAACCATTGGGCGCACAGTGACTTGTCTTTTGGAGGAGGAGGGCCTTGACATTTTCTACGTAATACTCTCACTTCAACAGCAGTGTGCTATTTCCTCGTTCGTCAGCACCATCCTTCACCTCTTCGTGAGTTCACAGTGGCCCCTTTGACAGTCGGCAAACCCATTTGCCACGATAGATGATCAAGTATTTCTTAGTTTTCCTTCCACTTCCTGTGATGTCAAGTTGGGGCTTTTGGGGGTGAACCACCACCTGTGCGTGCCACTCGGGCACCCAAGTGGGTTGGCACTTTGACAAACAAAGATACTTAAAAGGGATTCTCTAAGTATAGATGCTCTTTGACTTATGATGAGGGTACGTCCTGACAAACTCATTGTAAATTAAAAATATCATAAGCTAAAAATTCATTTAATACCCCTAACCTTCTGAACATTGTAGCTTAGCCTAGCCTACCTTAAACATGCTCAGAAAGCTCATGTCTGGCCTCCCTACAGCTGGGCAGGATCAGCTAACACAGCATATACACTGCAGAGCGTCTGCTGTTTACCCTCCTGACCACGGGCCAGCCAGGGAGCTAGGGCTCACTGTGCTGTGCTGCCGCTGCCCAGCATCATCGGAGATTTGTACTGCGCGTCGCTTGCTAGCCTGGGAAACAAAGTTTAAAATTCAAAGTATGGTGTCTACTGAATGCATACCAGTAAGCATTACTTGTTCAGGAAGCATTACCTCCAGGCCCCTGCTCAGAGGTAGACATGGAGAAGCTGTCAGTCCCAGGCTGAGGGGAGGATGTACAAAACAACCTCCTGTCTCCCCAAGAATGATCCTGAAGTGAGAATTTGGGGTGTAAGCTGTCATTCTACAGGGCGCTTCCAAAGACTCCACACAAAGCCTTGGGGTTGCCCCGAGATCTTCAGGCTCCCCCACTCACCCTCCACGTCTGTCTCCCAGGGAGCCAGAGTTTCTACTTGGAGCACACGGACGACATCCTCTGCCTCACGGTGAACCAGCACCCCAAGTACAGAAACGTGGTGGCCACCAGCCAGATAGGTAGGAGCGCCTTGCTGCAGCCGTGGCTCTCCCCGCTGAGCAGGAGCGTTGACTTAGCAGTTACGGGGGAGGGAGGGGCGGGCCACCGACATCCACACTTTCTCATTGACGTTGCTGTTTGTGTGACTTTTTGAGCCCAGAAGGTGTCTGTGTTGCTTGAGTTGACACATCGAGTGATTGATTCTGAGGACCCATAGAGTCAGGCCATAGCCTCGTATTCCAAATAAGTAGATGCCCCCATCACTCTGGGCTTGTGAGAATAATTTTTCAGACCCCAGGTATCAAGTGAAGAGCCCCGTGTCTGAAGCCTGGCGGTTGTGCTCAGCCTGGTAGACTGCGGTGTGTGCGCCACGGTCTTCTGTATCCTAGGCAACTGTCAGTGACAAATGTGACCTGATTCACATTTGTGAAAAGTGTTGTTGGTTTTTTTCACTTGGCCATTTCAAAGGCAGTTTTTACAAACATATCTTCCTGCTTGTTTTCATTGACCCCATGTCCATTTTTTAAATTTCATTTGGAACTTTCTGATGCTGGTGTTGAGTGCTTCACTATTCGAAACATGACTTAATTTAGCTGTTGTTTTCCCTTGACGCTTCCTCATTGCCATTGCCCACCTAATGCAGGTGATGTTGCGGAGACCCCAGGTAAGGCTGTTCCATCGTGAGTAGTTTGAATCTGCACAGCAAAATCATGTCGATGTGTCATGTTTGCTGATTGTATCCGGCTGAAGCGCGGATACAAACCATTGACCTCATCAGTCTCCTTTGTGTAACCACCTCCACAAGTGAACTTGTTGGGCGTATGTGCCCTTAGTCTCTGTCTCTGTCTCTAAAAGCACAGCATGTGTTTTCTATGGCCTTTCACCTCTGGCCAGGTCAGGCTGTAGGTCCCTTAGGCCCAGTGACCGTAAGGCCCCCGAACGCTTGACTCGTAGATGAACACAGCATTGCCGTGGCTCCACCGTTCCCCAGCCTGAACTCTTTGTCACACCTCCACATTCAGGAACAACACCTTCCATCCACGTCTGGGACGCCATGACCAAGCACACCCTCTCCATGCTGCGGTGCTTCCACTCGAAGGGGGTGAATTACGTCAACTTCAGTGCAACGGGAAAGCTGCTGGTGTCAGTGGGCGTGGACCCTGAGCACACCATCACCGTCTGGCGCTGGCAGGAAGGTAAGCGAAGCTGGACCTCTGTCCGTCTGGGAGGCTTGCTTGCGGCATGGGCTGGACTCCAACCTAGATCTGCCTCCTGCAAAGCCCACTGAGGCACTGCTGTGGGATCAGCAGATATCAAGGCTCTAGGGGTCCTAGGGAAGCTGCTCACTGGACGCCACTGCATCCCTGGACCCCTCGGTCAGGAGGGGGTCACCCATGGCAGGCCTGTGCTGGCCAGTGAAGGGTCTTTGGGCACAAAGTGCCCCAACGCCGACAGCCTTCTTCCTCCAGCAGGAAGCAGAGCAACCTCTTCCATTTCTGTCCTGACTGCCCTCTGACCCAGACTTCCTTCTCCTCAGCGCTCCCTCTGGCAACGCCTGGGTTCTGCTGCAGCCTTGCACCTTGGTTGTCTTATTACAGGAACTGGGGACAGGGTTTCACCCCCTCAGTCTCAGAAGCATATTGGTTTCTTTACATTTTAACTTTTTAGAAATGGGGATTCATTTTATAATCAAGGTTTACATTTAATTTATCAAGTTTTCCTTCTTTCTTCCCCTTCCCTGACACACACAAGCACACACACGCACAGATACAAAGACCCTATTAAATTTCTGGGGCTGCTATTAAATTTATGGTCATCTTAGACTCAAAGATGTACGATCTTCCAAGCGTATGCTCAGGCTGGCAAAAGCAGATCCAATTAGTTAGGATATTAATGAGGTCTGCCTCCAGCCGGGCAGCCCGTATCTGGGGCACGCTAAGCCTGGCACGCACAGAGGTGGCACATCTCCAACCCAGGGCTTCTAGAATCCCATTATCTCAGCCTCTTCCCCTGGGAGGGTTTGTGAGAGGGAGCCGTGAAGAGCTGAGCACAGTGGGTGGAGAGCCCCAGTCCCTCTTGAGCCCCCACATGAGAAAAACAGGTTGGGGACCGGCAGATTTGTATGATGAGGCTCACTCGTCATAGTCCATCCACTTCTCATTTTCTTAATATTGTGTACAGATGGCCCCATAACCTGCATATTGGGGATGCAGGTTCTTTCCTCAGAATGTCGCGGCTAGCTGATTAAGTAAACTCATCCCCAGATGAGAAACCGAGCTTCTTAAACCATAGCCTTGTAGTGTCACTGAGTTGCAAGGATTGGATAAGTCTTCCTGCCCAGACAGCATGCATCCCATGGAGAAATTCCTCCAATCGCACTTCAGATGGGCTGACTTCCATTCTCGGCTGGGACACTCTCCAGGATGTGGCCCTTGTCGTTTCACAAGGCACCCCACCCTGTCTTGGAAAGCTCGTATAAAGCCCTTTCTTCTTTGAGGTCACAATTACCTCATAATGCCTTTCTTCTGCAGTACCACTGACTCTACTCTCTGCGGTTGCCAAGGAGAAGTCTATTCTGGCTTCCTTGGAAGAAAGGCACATCGGCCCGATGCACAGTCCTGACTTCTGCAGCTCAGGCTCTCCCCGCTCACTCCCCTCGCCTGTCCCTCTGGGCAGCACCCGCTCTGGCCTGGCCCTGGCCTGGCACAGATTGCTGCTCACTTGGGGACCCTTCTGACCTCCTGAGGGAGCACTGGGGGAGCCAGGTCTATTAAACAAGCTCCCAGGAGAAAGAGAAGCCTTCTCTTTGCTGGCGCTCTCCCACAGTCTTTGTCGGAACGAGCGCTTTGTCAGAACAGCCCAGAAGGGTTCTGAGCCAGTGACGGGGTTTAGTGGCCTCTCCCTAGCCACCAGCTCTCCTGAGCTGATTGTCCTGCTTACAAATAAATAAGGTGTGTTTTCAGGGACGTTTATGTACATTTTTAGGTAAGAATATACAAAATAAAATGGAGTAAGAAAATGAGCTTATTATAGAAACTGCATGTTGTCAGGTCCTAGATACTTGTCTGGAATTTGTCCTGAGCAACCGAGAGGCCAGTACGCTGCACAGAGGGAGACAGGCATCTCACAGGGAGAAGTGCTCAAGGGCTTGCAAAGGAAAAACAAACAGCGGCTCAGGAGACGGGTGCATCTTACTGTTTTATTTTGCATTTCCCCTAGGACTTCTGAGATTGATCCTCTTTCCATCAGTTTAATGACAGCTTGTATATTGCTGCTTCTGTAGTTCAGCTGTTCAAATCCTTTTTCTGCTGGAGGTGGGAGGGTTGTTTGTCTTATGATCTGTAGTTCTTTACTGAATCTTAATGTTAATTCTTTGTCTCATATAAGTTTTGCAAATGTTTTCTCCCACTCTTTTAACTTCATTTATGGTGTCCTTGGGGACCATGAGCCCAAGGTAGTCAGGATCTGTTACAGGAAGTCAAACATTCCATCCACAGAGAGAGTTACTGCTGGTGGTGAGAGGCAACCAGTGGCCTCCCCAGCCTCCGTGTCCCTGGGGGGCGGTTCCAGTAGGGAGTACCTGCAGGCTGGCTGTGGTCTACCCGTCCCGCTCTGCTGGAGAGCCATTCATTATAAAGACAGGTGAATGTGAGTGATGAGAAAGAGGGGAAGAAGAGTTATATGTGAGTGAATAATGGAGAAAAGATATGAAACTAGAACTAAAACATTAAGAGAGTTAAACTACTAGTATCTTTTCTTTATTTTTCTTTAAAATAAAAATAAAAAATCAAGGGCTAATGAGACAAAAATAGGCGAGGTTTAAAATAAGGGCTAAAAGACTGGAAGCCAAGAGATTTAAAAAGGAGCCGAGAGCACGGTCGTCATCTCAGTTCTCACTCACAGGACGCCCACTGCGTCGGGCGCCGCCGTCTGCACGGCCTCGCCTCTGTCAGTTCCTCTCGTCCTCTCCACACTTTCAAAAACAGGAACGATGATGAGCCTCAGTGTACAGATGAGGAAACTGAGGCACAGAGAGGTTAAACAGCTTGTGCAAAGCTGTGCTACAAATAAATGGCGGAATTGGGATTTGATTGAGACAAAGGTTCAGTAAAACTCAGGAGAAAAAAGAACTCAAGAGACAAGTAAAAACTGTAACTGAGCTGAGGAAAAAACTAGTAATTAAATGTAAAAGGTAAGGAATTTAAACCTCAAAACCATAAAAGAAAAGGGGGTTTGAGAACCTTTATTTAAGAAGAAAGTAAACACAGAGAATGAGTCCCCAGTGACATGGGGGGCGTTCATCATCCCGTGTGGGTGGGTCTTGTGTGACGTGGGGGGTGGGGATGCCCTTGGTCATTTTGCCCTTTTCTCTAATCTGGAAGCTTTCTTCTCCCAGGCTCTCCTTTCCTGTTGTGTCCACCGGTGCCTAGGTGCAGCTTGAGGGGTGGGGTGCAGTGGAGTCGGATTGTGTTGGCAGCACCTGCAGTCCTGGAAATTTTCCCGGACACAGACCCTCTTTCCCACCTCGGCAGCAGCCTGGGGGAGCAGGGTGCTGTCACAGGAGAGAACTCCGGAGCGTGCCCTGGGCTTGCTGGGATGGAGCTGTGTGCCTGGCCCCAGGGGCTCCCGAGGGCCACCTCACTGGACTCTGTCATCCACACAGGTGCCAAGGTTGCCAGCCGAGGGGGTCACCTGGAGCGCATATTTGTGGTGGAATTTCGCCCTGATTCAGACACACAGTTTGTGTCTGTTGGAGTCAAACATATGAAATTCTGGACCCTGGCGGGCAGTGCCCTCCTTTACAAGAAAGGGGTCATCGGGTCCATGGAGGCTGCCAAGATGCAGACGATGCTGTCCGTGGCCTTCGGTGCTGTGAGTGCCAGCAGAGGCTTCCTGAGAGGGGGTCCGGAGCCCCTGGGCGCTGGGGGAGGCGGGTGGTGGGGGGATGGCTGAGAAGCTGCAAACAAGAAAGCCATTTTCACATTGTCAGCTTTATTGGCTGTTTTGCAATCACTGTTCCCAAAATGTTAGAAAAGGTAGTTCCCACTCAGGGCAGAAGGTTCACTATGCTGGAGGCCAGCTGACTTGGAAGGCCTGAGTGAGCCACAGAGGTGGGGATCATTCCCACTGTGACATAGCTTCCCTCTTCTCTTCCGCCCTGTGTGCCACAAATTCCCCCCAACCGACATCTGCAAATGGGCTGCAGGGGCCCTCAGCCAACTGGCAAGATCCCCCAGGGACATTTTGGAACACAGTCCACTCTTCATGGCCCTCCAGCTGTGAGGTGCCCACCTCCTAGATGAGCCCCAGGAAGTGTCCCTCAGATGTCCCTGAGATGGAGTCCCTCCCCTCCCATCCAGCCCCCTGGGGCTCGATCTCAGAATGGAAGTTCGCTTGAGACAGAGCTCTGTTCAGTGGGGTAGTGAAAAGCCACAAAGTAATTCAACAGACTGAATTTCAAAACCAGGTGATCTATCATATACCGTTTGTGGCTCTTTGCAAATTCTTTCGCCTTTGCTTAGCACAGGTCAGCATGAGTGCACATTTCCACTTCTCCAGTGCGGGGTCCTCAACAGGGGAGCGAGTGTCTGGGAAGGTGTCCCTTTGTTTACAGAACAACCTCACTTTCACGGGTGCCATCAACGGGGACGTCTATGTGTGGAAGGACCACTTCCTCATCCGGCTGGTGGCCAAGGCCCACACGGGCCCCGTCTTCACCATGTACACGACCCTGCGGGACGGACTCATCGTGACCGGAGGGAAGGAGCGGCCGTAAGTGCAGCTCCTCTGGAAACAAGTGTCTTTCTGTTTTGTTTGGGGTGAAACTGACAGAAACATTTACAACTTGGAGAACATGCAGATTTTCATGATCTTTTTCTGCACCAGGGAGATCAGTCTGCCATTTCTCCTAGAGGACCCTAAGGTAAAGCCTTCAGAAGTAGGAGTCAGAGGAGAGAGGGCATTTGATGGCAGTTCAGAAACCGGAGTGGTACCGTGAACAGACATGAGCGACTCTGCTGTTCGTGAAGCATTGCCCCCCACAGCTCTGTGGGGGAAGAGGCGAGGGAGAAGTGAGAGCAGGATAGAGAAGTTCCCCTGGGGATGGGGAAGTTGTGAAAACGAAGCAGAGAAACAGGAGAAACATTTCTCTTTGTGTTGGACCTAATAAAAAACTTGATTTTCTAGATTACAATTCTCTTTCCTTCCATGTAATGGTATTTCAAGGCATTCTAGGACATCTGCAAGTTCAAGGGGTTGTGACGGCACATTGGCAGGCTCTTTGAAAGGGGCCAGCCTGGAGGGTCAGTCCTGCTGGGCCCTGGCGCCTGGGACCTCAGTGAGATGACAGGGAGAGAGGGCAGTGGAGGCCGTGGGGGTCTGAGGACGAGGGCTGGCATGCCACGTTCCTCTTGATCTGTTCCAGGACCAAAGAGGGAGGTGCCGTGAAGCTGTGGGACCAGGAGATGAAGCGCTGCCGGGCCTTCCAGCTGGAGACGGGGCAGCTGGTGGAGTGCGTGCGCTCCGTGTGCCGCGGCAAAGTGAGTGCGGCCGTCTGCCCTCGGCCAGGCCGGGCGGGGGAGGGGTCCCCGTGGGACTTAGTCCAGACCCTCCCAAGTGTCAACCTAAAGTCAAAAAGTTGCAATGAAAAGCAACCAATGTTTATTTGGGATCAAAGAAATTGCAATTTGGGGAGCACTCATTGAGGCAAAACCCAAATAGTGTCCTGATTACAGGGCAAAAGCAAGGTGTTTTATGAGAAAAGAGAAGGAATAATTACATGAAAAGAAGAAAGAATTCCTACTGGTGAGCTACTCTTGGCTATTCATGATTCGTAACTGATTCTGTCATCAGGTTGCAAGTCCAGAATCACGTCCTTGTGGTGAGAATATTCACTTTCCTGCTGGCTTTACAAGCAATTGTTTATAAAACAATGTTGGTTTTATTTAGTTTAGTCCAAAGGTCTTGCCCAAGCAAAGTGCAACCAAAGAACAGGACAAGCAAGGTCGTTGCTCTGGCATGGCAGCTCCAACTCCACTGTGAAATGGCTCCATTGATGCCATTTTCCACGCCAGCTAGGCACTTCCCTGTGCTGGGGTCCTGAGCCCTTAACACAAGGCTCCTGGGAGTGATGTGTACTGTGCTGGGGAGGTAGCGTAGCAGAGTCAGGCAGACCTGGGTGCAAGCAGTGACTTGCTCAGCAGAACTGCGCCTGTGACTTGTGTGCTACTAAAACCTTCTGTGTCCAGCCTACGGTTATTATGAGGATCGCATGCATTATACATGCACAGCACCTTTCGTCATGCCTGGCACACAGCCACGTTCAGAGGGAAGCTCCTGTTATTACAGATAATATTATTACTGGCACAGAGATATTAAATAACTTCCCCATGCTCAAAGTTATACAGTCAGTGAGGGGGAGAGTAAGGGCCACCAAAATGATTGAGAGTCACTGGTTTTCAAGGCGTACCTTGGCTGAATATCAGAAACAACTGTGGACTCTTTTTAGAAAATGTGGCTGCCCAGGCTCCCACCCACAGCTGGCAGATCAGAATCTACAGGACATGTTCTCTGTTTTTCCCTTCTCTTCTTTTTTTAACCTCTCCCCGGCCCAGGAGATTCTAATGCACTTGAAAACAAATCCCTATTTAATAATATAAGCGCCTTGCATTTACATTTTTTAATTGATATGAGTCAAAGAATTGCTTTCTAGATGGTCTCCATAAGAAAAAGGCAAACTTTGTAGTCCACACAAGTTGCAACTGGGGGTTTTGTGATAAAAGAGGTAACTGTCAATCATCTGGAAGGGGAGTTAGGTATGTGCGATGTGGAGGCAGGACTGGCCCCGGGGCCTGGAAGGCATCCCGAGACAGACTTTTGTTCAGTATCAGGAAGGACTCAGGAGGAGTGTGAGCTGTCCCAGAGCAGAAACTGGCTGCCCTGCTCGGTCGTGAGCCTGCAGTCCCTGGAATGTTCTAGCAGGGACTGGTGATGGAGAATTCAGTGCAAAGCTCTCACCCAGGGTGGCCGATGGAGCAGAGGCGAAGTGAGAAAGTGGAAGGAGGCTGCTCCAGGAAAAGCGGCTCAGTGGTTAAAGACAAAGCACCTCTCTGCTCTTCCTGTTGTAACACCAGGGCCAGTGAGGACACGTTCCCAGGCTGTTCTAATAGTGCTTTGTTTTAAATTATTTTAGACTGTGGCAAAACATAGGTAACGTAGAATTTACCATTTTAATCATATTTAAGTACAATTTCATGGCGTCACGCACAGTCACCTTCTTGTGTCCCCGTCACCTCACAGAACTTGTTTCATGGTGCAGAACCCAAACGCTACCCATGAAACAGTGAGTCCGCCTGCCCGCCAGCCGAGGCAGCCACCACCCTGCCAGGCCCATGCGCCTGACTACACCAGGCAGTTCACGTGGGTGGGATGACACAGTGCTTGTCCTTTGTCTAACAGTATTTTGATTGAAACAGGGAAAAATTTTAGTGGGGACCAAAGATGGAGAAATAATTGAAGTTGGTGAAAAAAATGCCGCTTCCAACATCCTGATTGATGGACACATGGAAGGAGAGATCTGGGGTCTGGCCACACACCCCACCAAGGACATCTTTATCTCTGCCAGCAACGACGGCACAGCCCGCATCTGGGACCTGGCCGACAAGGTGAGCGGCCCTCTCTGCCAGGCTCCTGGGCCCACGTGTGGGCCTCACAGAGCAGTGAGGAGAGATCAGGTTGGGCGACGATGCATGGGGGGAGCTGAACAAGAGATCAGCACAGGTCAGTAATTAAGTTAGCCTAAGGAAAGAAGAAGCATTTACACACCCCCAGTCTATCTGTCTACAAATATTTATAGCTGGAATACTGTATGTGAGAATGATTATTCAATCGTCAAAAAAAAACCCCAAAAAACCCAAAACCTAAAGAGAGAGAAATCATCTTCTCTGTACAGGAAGACTAAAAATGATTTAAAATGTCAGATGTCCCCAAATGGAACATAGCAATCAAAATCCCAACAAAGCTTCTCGTAGAATTTGGAAAAGCAATTTAAAATATCAAAAAATAACTTTAAAAACTCATCTGGAGTAAAAATCTAAAATAGCAAGGACCATTCTAGGGGAAAGAAAAAGATTATTTCCAAACCTTGTCTAATATTAAAACAAGTACTTAAGTTCCTAAGAATTAAGATACTCGGTTTCATCCCCGAATGACTAGTAAATGTTTGAGTCCCGTTTTCAGTGCACATCAGAGAACGGAGAGGCAACAGCCTGAGTGTGGTTATTACACTCACGCCAGTTCCCACCGACGGTGGTGGTGGTTGTTCCCGGCGGCTGTCCTTCCCTGAATCCCTACCACACGCCAGATGCGTCGTGTACGCTCGTGTTAATGCTTTCGGCAGCCTGGCAAGGCCAATATTACTATGGCTTGTTTCTCAAATGGGAAGGTGAGGAAGTATTTCATAACTTACCCAGACACATGCAGCGAGAGCCAGGATTTGATCTAACAGTTGCTGAAACGCAAACTCTTTCACCTGCACAATAAATAATAGATCAGCAACCTATGGCTGGAGGGTCGAGGTGGGCCTGCTGCCTATTGCAAGAGACCATATGGACGCCAAAGCCTAAAATATGTACTTCCAAACCATTTACCGAAGACTTTGAACTCCTGCCCTAAAACATGTAGTCTCTCAAGCTGCTCTAATTAAAACCTACTGCCCCCTGCTACTCAGAGATAGTAGCTAGAAGCCAGCACTTTTGGAGGCCAACCGCGTGGCTGCTCTGGCCTGGGGGCAGGAGTTCCCCTGGAGACCGGCCGAGGTAGCCAGGGCTCAGGTGGTACTATTTTGTATCAACGTAGAAGCTGCTCAACAAGGTGAACCTGGGCCATGCAGCCAGGTGTGCGGCCTACAGCCCTGACGGGGAGATGGTAGCCATCGGCATGAAGAATGGAGAGTTTGTCATCTTGCTGGTGAACAGCCTGAAAGTTTGGGGGAAGAAACGAGATCGGAAATCTGCTCTCCAAGATATCAGGTACACAGCAGGTGGTCCAGGCAGGAGAAGAGAGGTGGGCGTTCCCCTTCCTGGGGGTTCCCATTTCAGAAGGGCCACAGCTGGGACGAGAAACTCAGTTGTAAGAAGGCCCCTTTCAGTGAGCCAACTAAGAAAGGAGACCCTCTCACACATCAATTCTCAGACACGCCTATACAGGTTTCCACAGCAGTGTGGCGAAAAGTTCTTGTAAAATGCCCTTCTACAAAAGGCTGTGTACATGTGTTTTCTCACTTCCTTGGGATTTGATCCAGAGAAATTGTCGAGTCCCGTAGAATGTAGGAGAAGCTAACCACATGGGAGTTAGAAGTGAGGTCTCACGGCCTCTGAGCCTGGGCGGCCCGTCCCTGAGCCACCCTCGGGCCTGGCCAGCCCTCCAGTGACCGTGCTCTTGGGTTGCTTTCTCTAGAATCAGCCCGGACAGCAGACTCTTAGCCGTTGGTTCTTCCGAGCATGCAGTTGACTTCTATGACCTCACTCAGGGCACGAGCCTGAATCGCATCGGCTACTGCAAAGACATCCCCAGCTTTGTCATTCAGATGGATTTTTCTGCGGATGGCAGATACATTCAGGTATGCGTCAGCTTCACCGGTATCTGGGGCAACCAGTAATAGTAATAATAACAATGGTTCGTATTAATCGAGTGCTTCCTTGTGTTCCCACCAGGATGCTAATTTACTCTGCACAGGAACCCCTTTGGGTACTCTTGCCTTTCCTGTTTTATAAATGAAGAAACAGAGGCTTACCGAATTTCAGCAGGTTGAAGAAATAGAATCTAAACTAGTAGAGTTTTTCTCCAGTAAGAGAAGCAGGAAACACAAGCCCTAACTGTCCGTAATTCTGCTCTCACCTCGCCTCCAAAGCTTCCCACTTCCTAGTTCTCAGGGGCTGCACCTGTAAACCAGTGTCACTTCGCACACTCATTCGTGTTCATCCCAAACCCTCCTTGGTTGGCCCCTCCACACCAGGGACCTGGACTCCAGCTAGTGCGCCTGGAGGGAGAGCTCTGCAGTGGATCCCAGGGGAACTGATGAGTGGGGTGGGGCAGAGAGGGGTCCCACCCTTGGAAGTTATAGCTGAAGACAGGACAGTTTCTCGAGCACTCTGAACAAATATAATGCATTTGTGAGCTGACCTGGCTTTGGATATTCATGTGAAGGGAGAGAGGACATGTTCATTCATCAGATATTTCAAAACCCAGCACTGTGGCAGGCTTTTGGATGGACAAAAGGGTCCCGCTGTCTGCTCTCCTGGAGTTTGCCTTGTCACGGAGAAGACAAGCAATAACCAGATAATCACAAAATATACATGGAAGTACAAATGTGATCACGCGCTGAGAAGGACCGGTGCAGGGTGCTGTGGGAGCATTCGGCAGGGGCTGAATTTAGATTCCCTTCCCTTCCCTTCTGCCTAAGTGGTATTTAAGCTGAGGTCTGTAGATGTGTAGGAGTCAGCCAAACAGCGGGCTGGGAACACGGGTCCACGCCATCTGTGGGAAGGCCCTGAGGTGAGACAGATCTCCACGCATTCCACCAGCAGCAGGAACATGTCAGGAGGCTGGGCTACAGGCACCTGCAGGGCCGGGGGCGCTGAGATGTAGGTGGCAGCCATTTTCTGGAAAATGGCCAGGTCCTCCTAGAACAGGGGTCCCCAACCCCCAAGCCGCAGACCAGTATCAGTCTGTGGCCCATTAGGAACCGGCCTCGGAGCAGGAGGTGAGCAGTGGCTGCTCACTCACATTACTGCCCGAGCTCCGCCTCCCATCTTCCCCATCCACTCCACCCCACCCCCGTCCATGGAAAAATTGTCTTCCACGAAACTGGTCCCTGGTGCCAAAAAGGTTGGGGACCACTGCCAACGAAGATCCCAGAGAAGCAAGGCTCAGGCCCCAGGGACTTCAGCAGTCCTCTGCAGCAGCTGCTGTCCCTGAGGAAACCGGCCTGACTTCTGACCAGAGGACCTCGGTTCTCTGAGAACCGGGATCCCAAAGCCGAGTGAGCAGCAGCGGGACCTGGGGGCTGTGTTACAAGCAGGCTGCCAGGCCCCACCCTCAGAGGGTTTGACTTGGTAGGTCTGGGCGGGCCCGGCAGTGTGTTTCTAACAGGTTTCCAGATGATTCTGATGCTGCTAGTCAGGAGCCAGCCCTGAAACACTGCCGCAGGCCTTTGCAAAATAGTGAGAAAATGGGTGGAAAAACGCCCTGCTCATGTGGACTTCAAGTGGGCTGACCACAAGCTTGTAGCCTGCAGTTGAACTTGGGTTTTAGAGAAAAGCCCTGCGGCTGCATAGGCTGGGCCAGCGTTCTGGGGAACAGCCCCCGAAAAGGGAGCCCGGCGGGCCGGGGGAAAGGGTGGACGGACATGGTTTCCTTCCACTGTGCAGGTGTCGACGGGAGCCTACAAGCGCCAGGTGCATGAGGTGCCCCTGGGGAAGCAGGTAACCGAAGCCATGGTCATTGAGAAGATCACCTGGGCCTCCTGGACAAGGTGACTGGAGGAAAACCCTTTCTGAGGAAAAGGCCCCAAGGGAGTCTCTTGTCCCAGGCTCAGCCTGCACGTCTGTGGGTAGCTGGGTCTGAAGAAGCGAGATAGAGCTGTGTTCTTTGGAGGTGGGGGCAGAAGGCTTCTTGGTACCAGTTTGGGCCACTGGATTCCATCTGACCTGGGCCTTGAGATGCAAAGTCCCTCTTTTTGTGTAATCAACCCTACAAGTCCCCACACCCATCCAGCCAGCAAAGGGAAACCATCTCCCAGCCCCTGACCAAGCCCTCGTGATCACCGGGAGGCGTGGGAGGGCTGGGACTACCAGTTAGCCGGATAAGGAACAGTGCCTTGCCAACGTGAGGGAAGAGACCGTCGTCCTGTGAGCCTGAAGGAGCCCCACTCCTCTCACACATACTCAGGACTCTAGGGAGGTGGGGGAGAATCAGAGGTGGAGGTAGCTTTTCTTTTGAGGGTGAAAGGGACCCGGGCAGAGGACAAGAAGAGCTGGGGCAAATGTAGAGGGGCCAGAAGGGCCACACAGCCATACTGTCGTGGCGTAAAATAACCCTCGTACTCCTGAGAGAGGACGTACCCCTGAGAGAGGACGTCTGACTGCAAGAAGGTTCTCACAGATCTCCTCCTAACACCTCTTCCTGTTGGAACAGCATTCTGGGAGACGAGGTCATTGGCATCTGGCCGAGAAATGCAGACAAGGCTGATGTTAACTGCGCGTGTGTGACCCACGCTGGCCTGAACATTGTCACGGGAGATGACTTTGGGCTGGTGAAGCTCTTTGATTTTCCATGCACAGAAAAATTTGTGAGTCTTCCTTAGAGGAACCTCCCCACACTGCCCCCACGCTCTGGGTTTTCGGCACTGTGCCAGAGATGGCGGCCACACCTGGACAGCCATCTAGAACCTAGAACATGAGGAATCTTGTTCCAGCCCTCTGGAAATTTGGCAGCCCCTAACCTTTTCATCTCCCTCCCTCTGGAGGGGGAGTCCTGGAAGCCGGGAGAAGGGACGATGCGGGGTGGACAAAGTGGCTGTAACTGGGGCAAGTCGGAGAGGACAGCCAGTGAAAGGCTGGCTAAAGGAGATTTCAGACCAAGTGGGAATCTTGAGTGAAGGAGGTTCTGGCAAGCGGGGACCTGTGTCCTTCAGGGAAAGGGGCCCGCGGTTCCTGGGAGGAGCAGGGTCTCTCAGCTGTCTCCGTTCACTTTTGCTCACAGGCCAAACACAAACGTTACTTCGGGCACTCGGCTCACGTGACGAACATCCGTTTCTCGCACGATGACAAGTATGTGGTCAGCACCGGAGGAGACGACTGCAGGTACTGACCTGATTAGTCTGGCTGTTCCGCCCCAGGCCTGGTCTCCACTGCCCCTCCACACTGACCACCCCCCAAGAGTCTGGTGGGTCAGGCTCTCCCAGGGGTATGGGGAGGTGGTGAGGAGGACAGTGAACAGGAAATCCCATGAGTCCTAAGGAAGACAAGGTCCTTCCCAGTTTAAGGTATTTAGTGTCTGGTGACTTCCAACCCACGTTTTGACAGGACTGTGTCTCCACGAGGACTGTCTTGGGATTGGTGAGAAGCCCAGGGCATGCGATAGCCACTCCAAGCCTTGTTGGGTGGAGGGACAGGTGGGGGAGACCCAAGACGGCCCACTTCAGTAGGAGCTCCTGGACAAGCCATAGTGCCATTCCGGACCATCAGGTTACAATGTCCTTGATCCTCTTAACTTCCAACTGATCACCAGAATTCTTAAGATCGGTGATTAATCCACAACCAAAAGAGGTTTAAAAAATAGTAGTATTGAGCCTCAGCCTCCTGGGAAACAAGCATGGCAAGTGTTGCCCAATTTTACCTAAGAGACCAGTTGAGGGGAGAGGCCATTAGGCCCAGTGCAAGTTAGGAGCAGAACCTCAACCAGTTTACTTGGACTCCTAAGCCAGGGCTGCTTTTGACCTTAACCACTGTTCAGTGCAAAATGGGTGCATTGCTTTGCGAGGTGCAACTGGTCTCAGAGTGATTTTGGAAGCCCCCTACTAGCTCTAGAGGTGACATTGGCCCCTTCAGCATTTCCAAGGCAGCTTTCTTCTGTTCCCCCACACTCCGCCTGTGTAGGGTGTGGGGGGACAGGACAAGCTCATTCTAAGTCACTCGGCTTCTCCACATGTAGTTGAAGAGCTTTAATGCAACGTGAACACTGGTTTCTGTTCAGTCCAACCAATACTCTTGGGGGCAGAGGGTGGAGAAGAAATGCATGCATTCCAGATGTTTATGTGGTCTATGTGAGGCTGTGGAAAAGGCACTGCAGAGAATGTCAACCCACTTCCTACCGAAAAGCATTGTGTAGAAGGTGGCCCCAGAGGATGCCTGATGGCCTGCCTGTGAGCACCCATCTCCAGTGCCAGCTGCTGCCAGCACTTAGAGCCCTTGAGATAGGACCGAGAGCAGCTCCCCGTGGAGTGTGAACATCCATTCAGGACAGCACCAGCCAAACTGTACACAAGCCAGCAATGAGAGATGAGAGTAAACCAGTCACCTTGGTGCAGCAGATGCAGGTGACTTTTGATTGCAACAAAAGGCTTAGAAGTGGCCTTTAACATGCTGGGCCCCCAGGCCTTTGTGGCCCTGGGAGCACACTGTGATCCCTGGCTCTGATCCCTTCACTAGGAAGGGCTCTGCTGCTCAAGTGGAGCTGATAAAACCTTTTCAGTGCTAACAAGAGAGATAGTGTGAAGTCAATTTGCCAAAAGTCCTCACACTGAGCATAGAGACTCCGGCTGCTGAAAGAGCCAAACAAAACAAAAAACAATAAACCTTTAAAGATAAAAAAACAGTAGATCTTTAATTGGTAGCAAGATTTCTGGTTTGCCTTTTTTTTTTTAATTGACATGGACATGTTCACTGCATCACCAGAGCTTGACTGGAGCACTTGCAGGATTGTGCTTTGTCACGTGATAGAAATAAGAGTCCAGCCCTGTAAAAGGACCGTTTGATCTGCCTTTCCAGTGTGTTTGTGTGGCGATGTCTATAAATGCCAGAAACCTCTCACTTTATTGCTGCTGCTGCTGCTCCCACCCGGCAACTGCAGAGGCGGTGTGAGCCACCTCCTCGCCACCAGCTGCTGGAAACGCCTCCAATGCTGCAGGCCGCACAAGCTCCGCGTGCTAGCAAAGCGGTAAGACTGCGCCCAGACTTGGGGATCTCCAAAACTGTGATGCCAAGAAGGAAGGTCAGTTCTCAGATGTTAAGACTGCTTGCCTCTGTTCCTGAGACTAAAAACTATACGTACTAACAACACTGACAAAAAAGAAAAAAAAATCCTGATAATGTAGCCCACTGACAAAATTTAAAGCCTCATTTACCCTAACCAATATGTAGCTTTTAATTTGCATCAAAACTTTTACAAAAGATGTTTTGCTATTATGTTTCTATATACTTTCAAACTGTTCATTTTTACAAATAAGTTGAACAAAACAGCTTGAGTTAGAAGCACCCAAGTCCTAGAACTACTGATAGCCTCTGTTTTCCACGTTTAGCTTTCAAAACCAAATGAGCCATGTATAAACAAGTTGAGAAACTTAATTTTTTAACGTTTTGTTTGCAGAGTTTTATATCCATTAAGTGCCTTTGAAAGTTTCCAGTTGTGTGGGCTGCCGTCTCACCTCCCACAAATTATCTCCTTTCTACATAAGGTGCTAAAACTTCGAAACCGAGGAGGGCTACAGGACCCTTAGCAGATTCCCGGTCTGTCACCTGTGTCGTGTGTTTATGTCAAGGCTTCCCAAAGGAAGGACATCAGTTACCTGCTTGGGAAATAGTGGCTGTAGGAAGGTGAGCAACAAAGACACTCAGGAGGTAGGGAAGGAATAGAATGAGTTTTCATTATGTTTAGTGCCAAACCCACAAAATCCAAAATAGAATTCAAATAAAAACAAATCTCTACCACAGAAGGAAAAAAACCAGTTCCAGGAAGACAAGCTGATTTATCTTGTTAAATCTAACACAGTAATGAATGAGGTAACCTGAGGCTGACTGGGTTTTCACCCTCCCAGAGTGAGATTGACTGGACACACCACTGATTTGCTTCTGAACTAACTATATGGTCAAGTGTGGATTAAAAAAAAATTCTCTGCAGAACAAATTCCTAAACCCAAGCAATATTTGATAAATCAAGATTACAAAACAGAATAGTCTAACTTGGAGCTCCTCAGAGTTGGTTGGTAGCAGATGTGACTTGGACAGCATTAACCAGAAGACAGCGTCAAACCACCGCAATGGCACTTTCCACTCGGCCAGCCACGGGCAGGCGGGGCCAACGGCGCTCTCTGCAGGCGGGCCTGGGGACCATGCGCGCACAGGCGCGCCACCGAGTCCTTCCGTCGGCGGACTGATTTTGGATCTTGACTTACTGGCTAGCTGTCAGTTTAGGGAAAAGGTGAAGTGAAGCATTTTCAATTAGATTAACATTTACCACAGAAGTGCTTCAGCATTCTAACGGGATTAGATCATTCATTAAGCTCTTTTTATATGCTGGTTTATTAATGCCTTACATTAACCCACTGATAGGTTGTTGGGCCCACAGTTAGTCCTTTCGCAGTCCTACTTGTTTTCTGTAACCACGTGACTGGTGACGCCGAGTGATAACCACATCTGCCTATATTGTACCACTGACCTTCCATACTGACTGAATCTTGCATTGAACTAACCATGTGGAAGAACAATAAATTGATCAATGATATGTACAACTGTATTTAAAGAGCAATAGTGTCTGTGTCAAGAAAACTTCTTAAATCTTAGTAAATATTTATATGGTATGATTTTATGTATGTTCATAAATCCTGCACTGTATTCTATGTTAAAATATTGGTGCATGAATTTATTTTCAATGATCAAAGTATAAAAATACATAATTTAAACATTTTGGTATGCGTCAAGTAAATTTATGTAAACATTCGTTTGTTTTCAAAGTAAACACAGCTGCACAGGAGCTGAAAACCTTTCTAAAAATCATTCACTGGTTGAAGCAAAGTCTATACCTGCTTTGTATGTACTTTTAATCTGCTACAGTCCCATGAAACCAAAATACCAAGCATAGTTTAAGTCTATAAGCTTTATTGATACTTTGCTTTTACAGTTCACAATGCATTCCACAGATTTAGTTCAGTACAGCTTAAACCACAATTGTATAAATCTTCATTTTATAATTTCTTGCATAACAATGTTTGATATTTGCAAACAACATTTTTGGAAGCATTAGATTCAGTCCACAGATTCAGAGTTTGTGACAAAATTAACTACGGTGAGTCTGTGCATGAAGTTTAAATGGTGAGTCCTATATGCATGGCATCATTTCATGTTGGAAACAGATGGTAGTGCTCCTAGAAATATATTTTTTTTCTGCTCATGTATTTGAAACTACACACATATAACCAATGACTCTGAACGCTCAAGCACTGTGGGGAAGCTGGAAAGTAAAGGTCTAAGCTTTGTAAAACACTATATATAGATATATATATAATCTATATTTACTTATATTGGCAATTAATATAACAGTAAAATTCACAATACACCTAGAACATACCAGAAAGGCAGGCCTTTTCACTCCTGCTTTAGTGGTATGATCTCGTCTAAACATTTCATTTCAGAAAATCTGAATCACTCTACACAGACCATACACAGCGCACAAACTGTGAAAAGGGTTATTTTTTTTTTCATCCCCACTGTCTCTGTAATTCCCAAAATACAGCAAGACTACCTGAAACAAAGTATGATACACAGCTTTCTCAGATCTTGTTTTATTCACCAGTGCCTCTTATAGGAAAAACAAGTATGATTATGGTTCAAATCCACACATAGCAGCTTACAATACTTAAGGTGAAGAGCACACGGCAGTCCGGACAGGCACGTCCCCCTCGGACACCGTGCCCTAAAAATGAAGATCTGCGAAGCTGCACTGCATTGTCCAGGTGTCATTCTTCCCTGACCCTCCCCCATGAAATCACATGAAGACCCCCTTTAAAGATAAACTCCTACTGTTAATTATTTCAGACTTTTTTTCACTCATTTTTGCGCTTCAATCCAGGGATTTTTGCTTGGATTCTGCAAATGGAAAGAGGGGGAGGAAAAGGTCAATGTAAAGAATTTTAAATCTGAAGTATCTTGTTTTCTGCTTCTTAAAATGCTATCCTTCAAGAACTACTTGTATGGCACTCAGCGTATGTAAGAAATGAAATCCTAAACATCAAGTTACAAGCTATAATTTTGCTACCGTGGCCTCATGAGTTAGTTTTAAACAAAGCCTTAAAAACAGTAAACATAGAAATAAATTACCCAAATGTTAGAAAAAAAATCTTCTGGCAATCGTATCACGCTTTAGGTCTGATTTGCTATAGTTGCTATGCCTGAAAGATGAAAATACTGCACTGTTCTCAAAGTCTAGTACGCCTTATTCTGAGTTAAAAAAAAGTTGCAGATTTTAAATACTTACTTAGCCATAGCATCTTTGACATTCTTATTTGCAAGTCCTAGATAATAATCTATCTGTGCCTGAAAGAGAAGTATAAAGAAGTTATTAGAAAATTAACATTGCTAAAGAATCTCATTGGCCATCACTATGACCCAATAAATGAAAGGTGAAAGAAACCACCACTTTTTAAGACTTTGGAACTGGCATTGATACATGTCCAAGTTCCACATAATAAAGTGAGCTCTGTATTCTGAAATCTGCAGTTAAGGAATTACCTGATGCCGTTCATAAATAACAGGAACGCTGAAGAGTGAAATCAGAGCTGAAAAAGGAAACACACAACCTTTACAACAGACTGGTGTGACTGAGGGAACAAACACTACAAAGTCCTCAAACTAGAAACACTCTTAAGCTAGTCAGGCAGTGTTCCTAATGACGGAAAAATACACAGGGTCTCCTGGATGCACCTGCTGGTGTGGTGGGGAGCCACTCCAGAGCAAAGAAGTGACCAAGGGAGGCTGCAAGAACCATTCCTGGCTTCTAAAACACGGGTACTACCTGGTTAGGTAGATTTATGATCGTACTGTCATATAAGGCAACCCTCACTCCAGTTTATCACTGTTAGTTGGAGCAGTCTTCAGGAACATAAAGTAGCACTTCAATAAACAGCATCAGCAATTTATTTAAAGAGATCACAACCTTAAATACGTCTCTATTTTTCCTACAATATATAAACACATTCCCCAATAAAATCTCTAAGCTCCTTGCACACAATTCTCCATCCCAATGTGTTTGTGGACTTACCCAAAATCAGTAGTGTCAGGCCATTGAACAAGGCACCGACGTAGGTAAATACCCACATCAACACTGCAAACTGTAAGAAAATAATGTTAGCCTATTAAAAAAATTCAAGTAAAGCTTCTTAATTAAGCTTTCAAATAAAAGCATCCCACCTAAATGCCAAGCTGGTAGAGGCATTATTCTTTGGGGACTTGGTAAAATACAGATATTTCGTTTCTAAGTCACCACTCTCAATTTAGGATTTCAGAATCCTAATTAGAACAACAGACTTGATTCATTTTCTCCGGAGTTCACTCTCAAGCAAATAGTTGATTCTGTTTTCTCTGAGATCAGAAAATATGCCAAAGGTACAACTTAATAACTCCAGTTCTAATACAGCATTTAGCGCTTAAATGGCAAGACTGAAAAGGCGCTGTGAGAATTCACATTAAATCTGATTTTAAAGTACTAACAAATTAAGTGAAGGTCTACCGGAGCTGAGTAAGTCAGACATTAAAATCGTAGACATGTGAACAGTAAACAAAGGGGCAGGGAGTACTTGTTATCAAGGAGACTAGGTTTCAGGTACCAAAAATATCACCCCTGGCACTTTAGTGAGGATCAGAGGCACTGTCTGCCCAGGGACAAATGTTTTCACAGCCACAGTTAACCCTGGGAATGAGGACTCACACTTTTATACCAGTTACTAAAATTGACCATTACGCTTCTTTAGCCGCTGCCTTCTTTATTTATTTAACAAACACTAATATAGTTCTTATATATTAGTGCCAGGCACTGTTCTCGATGCTTTACAAACAGAAGCTCACTCACTTTTCCTGGCAACTTTAGGAGGCAGGCACCATTACAACTACGGCAGACGTGGACGCTGAAGAAACGAGAGGTCAGTCACCTGCCCGAGGGAAGATCTCACTGTCCCCTGTTCGTCGAGTGCGGCTGTCTGGGAAAGGCTGTGCTTCCAAAGAGTGATTTCCTTTGGAGAAGTCCTTTATTTCCTCTCCATACTTTATGAATGGCTGGGCAAGAGAACTTTGATGTTTTCTTCCAGTTCTAAAACTTGTTGACATCGTATAGTACAAAGACTCAATGACACTTCAAAGCAGTTCTTGAAGACTTATAACCACCGTCAGTCTGGATTTTATTAAATACTCATACCAGCAATTCCTTTGCTTCTTATTCTTATTAAAAGCCTTCCTGTGCCTGGCAATCGCTCTGCACTATTCACTAGTAGGTAACAAACACAGCAGCACGACGCCACCATCTACAGGGATTATTTAGGTACGTGGAGCATGGTGGGAATGGAAAGGAGAGAGGCGCCAGCACCTCCACGACCCAAAGCAGGGACTGCTGAGCTTCTTCTGTCAAGTAAGGTCGTGAGTGTGGGCCACAAGGGCTGTCACGTGTGCTTTGAATATCATCCTTTAAAAGGGTAGAAACCATTCTTAGTTCCCAAGTTCTACGAAACAGGCCATGGGCCAGTTTGCTCACCCTTTTGATCTAAAGCGTATCTTTCTCCCTGTCTTTCTTCATTCGTCCACATCAGAGAGTAAGCCTACTTCCTACAGGTTAGGAAGACACTTTGGATTCCTCCACCGACTGTCAGCTCAACAAATAGCAACAGTCCAGCTACCTCTAAAGCTGAGTTTAATTAATGTTTAAGCAAACATACTCAAGCATTTTTAACACCTGTCCATTGAAAATCAAAAATTAAATGCTGCCCCTGTCTTAGCAACTGCTGTGGGGCTACTAGTAAAGGTCTGAAATCCAACCCCAGTCAGCAAGCCTTTCCCTCTCACGCAGCTCTGCGGACTCTCATTGCAGAACTAAGTATAACTTCTGCGCTGGAGCAAGTGTGCTACAGAGCAACAGAGCTATTTTCATCCATCCCCATCTAACATCTGAAGGGAACACGAGTCCACCTCTCCCATTTTAGAAGAAACTGCTTTAGCAATAAAGACACCCTATGTAACCGAATTCAGATACGAACACACACAAGCAAAAGTAAGTCCTAGTTGGGTCACTAAGTCACTGCCAGGGCCCGCTCCAAACCCACGTGGAGAGAAGCCCAAGTCGCCAACACCTAGTCTGTCCAGGAGCTCAAGTGTCCTGTACTTGCCCCTTGGAGGACACTCCTAAAGACCAGGCTCTCCACAGGCAGAGAAGAGAGCGGAGAGAGGCCTCAAGTGCATGTGGGGCCAGGCAGGTGACATAAACTCGGGGAGAGGCGGGTGGGAGGGAGGAGGCCCGGGGCAGCAAACACGGCCTTCTCCTCCTCAAAGAGGTGCCCAGCCGACTCCCCACTGCTGCCAGCGACTGCTGCAGGCCCGATACCCCGCTTTCTCATCTCAAGGGAGAAACCAGAAACTCACATTTTAACGATATCACAGAATTTTAAATGTTACAGCTAAGTTGGGAGAATTTAACACTTCAGACACCAAAAACAAAAATACTGGGTGAGGGTTTCCAGAGCACACTCCATCAGGAGAGAAAGGAGTGTGGTAAGAACAAGCATCCAGCAAATGCACAATGACTGTAACTGTTATATAATAAAGCAGCAACCACCTTTTTTGGGAACTTATATTAATTAGGTCAGTTCACAACCCCAAAATTTAGTACTGTTA